TTCAATTATATTTTAAAATTTTAATTATATATTATTGTTTATTTTATTTTGAGGTCTCAATTTTTTTTTCTAATTTAGGGACTCTAAGCAATGACACCAGTGGCCTAAAGGTTGGACGGGCACTGACCGAGCCTCAGGTCGATCTTGTGATTGGTGAGTTTCGATCATAGGTCATGGATGAACCCTCGGACAATGACACTTTACTCCTCATCCTCTGTGTCTTCAACTATGATTCTGTTGTGAACTTTTGAAGTAAAGATACCGCATAAGATACTTCAACATTTTGTTCCCTATCATACGACCAAGCATGACATCGGATCGGACTTTAAAAACCAGATTCGCAATTTAATCTGATTTCATTGATAACCGTCTACATACAATAATCACTCGTGTTATACATTGTCAATATGTTGGTGAAGTAAAATATGAGGACGTTCTACTTTGAACAAGATTGCACTATCAAAGAGGGTATCATACCGAGAATTATAACTTTACTATTTTGAAATAAAGTTATGACTCTTTTGGTCAAATTATAATTAAATAGGGTAAAATAATGACAAAAAGTAGGACTAATCGAACAAAATTTAGGATCAATCTCCACTAATCTCATTCCGTTCTAACTTGATAAAATTAAATTTCAATATCTTTGCTAAAGTATCGAAAAAAAACTTGGGCTTGTTTAGTTTGTATCTTTAAAAACAGTATTCGAAAATAGTTTTTGAAAAGAGTTTTAAGATAGTGTTTTTAAAAATTTTAAAATTGTAAAACCTATTTGGTTATATGTTTTTGAAAATAGTTTTATTGAACAAAAAATTATAAAATCTGTTTGAACAATAATCCACAAAAATCCATAATTCCCATTTTTCTCTGTCTCTCTACAAAATATACACACACACACACACGCTAAAACACACTCACATAGACGCACAGTGAGGCGTAGAAGAAGAAGTTGCGAAAGAGAGAGAAAGAGCTCAATGAAGCGATGGAGAAGAAGAATGAACAGATCTGTGTATATGTACAAATATGTCTTAGATGTAAAGCCTTCGTAGTTGCGAAAGAGAGGTGGAGAAGAAAAAGTTGAAGAAAGAGAGGGAGCTCAGTGAGCGGTGGAGGAGAAGAATGAACAGTCTCTCTTTTTTATCTCCAATAAAATTTGAAAGGAATATCTCATTAATTTGGAGATAGATTGTTTCCCTTGTTTTCATTTTGCCTTATAAAACAATGAGAACATCATTTTGTTATTCTCTAAAATCACATCTCATTTCTCAAAATTTTCAAAAAATTAGAGAATAAAAATGCTAAACAAACAACATCTTCCTTGTTTTTAGAGTTTTGAGAACAAAAAATTATTTTTGAAAACAAAACCAAACAAGCCACTGGTTTTCTGATACTTAGGAAATGCACAAAACGGTTCGGTTCTATGTTTTGAATAGACAATTAGTGGAGTGAAAGTGGGGAGCGTATGGCCATTAAAGTCTAAAGAAATGACATTTGGGAGATCCATTCAATCAACCTATTGGTAGAGAAAAAGGTGTCTCCTAGGCCACAAGTTTGATGTTACTTGATGTACAAAGTTGAAAGCTCGAGGGGGTATCATGTCCAACAATTGATTTTGTTATCCTAAGGTAAAAAAAAAAAAAAGACTTTTTAATCTTACTACAAAGGCGGTCAAAATTTAACTTGTATTATGTAATTTGGTATTTTTATTCATTTAATTGACTAAATTTTGATTCTCTCAAGATTTTTTTGATAATTGATTAAAGGGTTATTTCTTACAAAGTCGTACATTAATTTCTTATATCTTTTCGGCTTCTCTTCACTCTTTTATAGGTACGTTCTTAATTGTTGTAGATGTATTATTCGAAAAAAATAATAGTTAATTTTTATTGTAATAGTGATCAACAAATTGATATATCTAAGAGAAAATAATACTAATCATGTTATGTTTTCTGATGCAAACATGACATCTTGGTTATATCATATTTCAGTTGACATGCATAATAGTATACTAAAAATTCACGACTGAAAATTATTTTTTTCCCAACTAAATACGTCAACTCTACAAAAATACAAATTTATTTAATTCATATCCTACCAAAATTAAAAAAAAAAAATTTTTAAAAAATTCTATAATAATTTTCATACAATATCTGCTCATAAAATCAAGAAAATAAAAAAAAATAGGTTTTTTTGTGATTCAATCCTAATTAATTAAATTAGTTTAAAATATTTAAAAAATGAGTTATTCATATTTGATACTAGTCTAGCCTATTTATAATTCATATTAGCCACCATCCCTAATTTATTAATTTTAAGTCAAATCAGTGTAATTCTATACAATTGTACAAGGAATTGTCGCCAATCCTATACAATTGAGCAATGTTCTTGTAACATAATTTATTGACTTAATTTACTGATCTAATTCACTATGGCCATTGGATTAACTGTACATCTCATCAAATATTAGAACTTAGTGTTAATTCAACGATTACAATAAAACCATATCATTAAATCAATAAATTAAATTAAAATTTTAGACACCAACTGCATTACACTAAGCAATCTAATGAATCATAAAAGTCAAAATTTGGTGTGAGAAAGTCTCTTAGGTTCCAAAATTCGTTTGCCTTTAAGGAATGCCATAGAGATTCCCTGTGCATGAGGGAATTCTCTAGTCTTCTAACAAAATTGTGTGATCCAACGATCCATTAGTTGTATGATCCAAATATTTATTAGGTGAAATAGTCACACAAATATTATTGTAATTGTGATTTTTTTTTTGCATTAAACTATGTCAACTCAAAACAAATTAGATTAGAGTATGTAATCTTAACAGAGAATTCCTTATAAATATGCTAATCTCAGCATGAATGATCTGTCTTTAACCGAAATAAAAAAAAGATTAGTCGAGGTGAACGCAAGTTTGATTGAATACTCCTATCAGTTGAACTAAAAAAAAAGAAAAAGAAAAAAATACTACAATAATCCAATCCAAGGTGGAATGCTATTGGGATTTAAAATCTAATCTAGTTTGTTGACCTCATGAGAAATAAACTAATATGGTCCAATAGTATTACAATAATATTATTTAGACCTAATTTGTTGGTCTAACTCATTAAATTCATTGGATGAATAGACTGTCAATCTAATGACAATAATTTATGAAGTCGACAAATTAAATTCAAGCAGTATTGTTAATAGCATTATTATAATTATAACTCTTGAATTTTTTTATTAAGACCCTATCACTTGACACCTCATCAGGATACTAAATTAGGTCAAAATTTTAAATTCTAAAAGTATTATTTGAATTTCATATGCAAGTAGTAGTTTATACATGTAAGTCAATGTAATCGGTTGGTTTGGCTGTGAAATCTGTCCAATATCAAAACTCATTAACATTCCAATAATTTATCTAATATTACAACTAAGAAATTAAATTCTTAATTTATAAAATTATAATGACGGTCAAGACTGATTTAATTTTTATTTATTTTGATCCAATGGTATAAAATTCATTCTAATTTTTTTTTTTTACTCAAAAACATCAACTCTACTAATAAACTCTCTAATGTCAAACAACCATACTAATTCACACCTACCTCTTTCTTATTTTCTTTCTATTAACTTTAATTTTAAATTGTGAAATTAAAAAACTAAACTAAATTATTATTTAAAATATAAATGTCATACAATCAATATTCAATTTTGATAATATAAAGTTTCTTCAGACATAGAATTGTTGCTAGTGATAATATATTAAGCATCCAAATTGCGTCAAATTAGTAGGAAATGACAAATACTATAATCTATATCTATACTACTAATAACAGTGCCTTAACATAAAAAAAATTTGATTCACTATTTTACCCTTAAAAAAATTATAAAGGCTAACGTGTTATTTTGTATTTAAATATTTAAATTACCATTATATCCCTTTGTATTGAAATAACAAATTAATATCTAATATATTATGCAAATATCTCTATTTTTGTAAAATTTTTGAATGATCATGTTATGTTTAATAAGATATATAAAAATAATATTTTTATTTCCAATATTAATACACGGTGACAACTCTATTGATACAATATTATCTATAATGCCTAAAAATAGTTATATTTATCTCATCTTTTCATTCACAATCAAAATAATTTGGTAAAAAATTACAGATACACAAAGTAAAAACAAGAAAGAAAAAAAAAAAAAAAATGAGAAAAAAAATATATAAATCTTACTATTTGATAGCTCAAATGAAAAAATTATGGAAAATGAGTCCATTATTAAATTAAGTTCGAGTAGGATTGATTATATCATTATTTTAATTCAAACTCTTGAAATTTTAATCGAGGCCATATTATTTGACATAATTAACAAATCAGCTCAAACATTTCAGTCTCAAAAGTATTATTTTCTTAAAATTTCAGATGCGCCTAATTTATAGATGGAGTTGATACAAAAAAAAAATTTATAGATGGAGTTGTCAACTGTAATAAAAAAAAATTTGATATTGACTTTTATCACATTTATGAGTGTTTTTATTACCAAAAAAAGCGGTAAAATAAGTTACCACAATAGCGATAAAATCACCTACAAATGTGATAAATAACCGACAAAAGTGACTTTTTTTTGTACCGAATAAAAATAATAAAAATAATTATCATAATTTACCAACAGTGAAAAAAATATTCACAATAGTGATAAAAAACTGATAAACATAATAAATCAATCACTCACAATTAATGCATTAAAATAATAAATTTTAGCAGTATAAAACCGGAAATTTTCCTTCGGTACTGTGTCAAGTTTTTTATAGATAATATTTAGTCCTTGATTTGACGGTCGACCTATCTAATATTAAAAGTCATAAACAATACACCGTCGAAATTAGGTCAAGGTCGTAGGAAATTACACCACTAATTCTATAAAAGAGGGTATGCATTTCAATCAATCGGCATCCATACCCACTAAAGTAAAAAAAACCATCATTGTTGGCACAGTTTGCAAAAGGAAAGATGGCGCTAAATGTTGAGATAGTCTCCAAAGAGATGATTAAACCCTCATCTCCAACACCCCATCACCTGAAAAGCCTCAAACTCTCTCTCTTAGATCAGATTGCACCACCAGTTTATGTTCCGATCATTCTCTTCTATCCTCTTCAGTTGGGCTCCAAGATTGATCCTACCCAAAAAAATAAATCTCTGAAACAATCATTATCAGAAATCCTAACACAGTTCTACCCATTATCTGGAAGGATCAAAGATGATTTTTTCATTGATTGTGATGACACTGGAGTCGTGTATGTTGAAGCTCAAGTCCATGCTCAACTCTCAGAAGTCATTGCAGAGCCAAGCATGGAGGAATTGAAACAGTTCCTCCCTGTAGAACCTTATAGCAGTACTGGAACTGTGAAGGAGACCCTCCTGGCCATTCAGATAAACTTTTTTGACTGTGGTGGGATGGCCATCGGCGTCAATATGTCTCACAAAATTGCCGATGGATCGTCGTTGATCACCTTCATGAATGCATGGGCTAGTAAATCACGTGGAGATAGTCTAAATTTGGGTCTTGATTTTGATATCGATTCTCCGTTTCCACCCAGAGATTTATCTGGGTTCATACCAAATGCAGTCATAAGCAAAGAGAAGATTGTAACCCGAAGATTTGTGTTTGATAAATCAAAGTTAGAAATTCTCAAGAAATCTGCATGTTCTGGTGCTGAATCAATAGTGAAGGATCCGACCCGGGTTGAAGCCGTCTCAGCTTTCATCTGGAGCCATTTCATGCAGGTTGCCAATGCCAATGCTAAAATGGATTCAAAAAAGATATTTGCTGCAGTTCATGCAGTGAACTTGAGGCCCAAGATGAACCCACCTCTTTCTAATCATGCCTTTGGAAATCTATGGAGCTTTGCTCTTGCTGTGTCAAAGCCTGAGGAAGACAAAGATTATCATGATCTGGTTTTCAAGCTCAGGAGCGCGATAAGGAAGATCAATGGAGACTATGTGAAGAAACTGCAAGATGGAGAGGAGTATTTGAACTATTTGAAACGATCAAAAGAACAGTTTTCACGAGGAGATTTAGAGTTCTGTAATTTTAGCAGTTGGTGTAGATTTCCTGTGTACGAAGTGGACTATGGCTGGGGAAAACCTGTTTGGGTCTGCACTACGGCCATGCCGTTCAAGAACGTGGTGATATTGATGAGTACAAGGGATGGGGATGGGATTGAAGCGTGGGTGAACATGGTTGAAGACAACATGGCCATGCTTGAACATGATCACAAGCTTCTTCCACTTGTTCACCATATTATCACTCCTTCAAAACCTGGTGTAGCCACTCTCTAATTAAGGGCGACTCTGTTATAAGCCAACCTTTCATAGTTTTTGGTTTCCTCCATTAAATTTTTTTTTTGGGGACGGGGTGATACCTGTAGCTCGATTAGACCCCGTGGATACAAACCATGGTGTCGAGGTTCCGGGTGGAGATGAGTATGTTTAGTTTTCTTTTTTTGTAGAATATGTATGTGTCCAGTGTTTTTCTGAATTTTCATCTATCTCTCAAGAATTATCCATAATATATAAGGGAATTTCTCACTACAGACAATCCACAATTATCATTAAATAAAATTAAGAAAAAACATACAAGAAGGCAGAGTGAATCTAGTCACTTTTACCTTAAATAATGTGCGGCTTACAATCATTAATAATTTATGGATCTCTTAGGCAAAATTCAAAATTCAAAATTCAAAATTCGGGCTTTAAATGTTTACTTCTTCAAAGGGCAAATTTTTCTTTGTATTTTGTGATTTTTCCCAAGTTAGGAAATTAGAATTGACATCAATTGAAAATTATTTTGAGTTATATATATATGTACTTGCAGTTGGTAATATTTTTTTAGGTAAAATAGAATTAATCAAAAAACCTAAACGCACGTTTGATTACTAATTCTCAATATTGCAATTCATATAAATAAACAATAATGTATCTATATACATATGTATAGTGTTGGGCATTAGATTAAACTTGAAAAGAAAATGAGAAAATGTAAAAAAGAAAAAAGAAGGAAAAAAAAAAGGAAAAAAGAAATACCATTTTAACAAGATGCTTAAAAACTACAAAGAAGGATTAAGCATTCTAAATGATTTTGTTACTTGTGCACATGATGAGGACCAGGCGGCTAACAAGCTGCGATCCCTATTGACGGACAACCTATGGACAAGAGCCCGACCAGCCTATAATTTAGGGGCCCAAGCCCAGTTTTAAGGAATGTTGTCTGGTTATTGTTCAGTGGGCTACATTAGACCAGCCCAATACAAAAGGTGGTCCATCATAAAGTTGTCGAATGAGGCCAAATGGACCTTCCGTGAGTTGACCAAGGGACTATCCCTAATGCTTCGTTTGGTAGGGAGAATGTAAAGTTGGAAAGATATAGAGTAAGAAGGATACATTTTCTATCATTTAAGGATAGAAAGTAGGAAGTATACACTTTCCTTTCTTTGTGTTTGGTTGGATGGATAAAAAATAAAAATGAATTTTTTTTTTTTTTTTTGTGATGGCTAAGATTAGGGGTGACAATCGAGTCAAGTCGTATCGTGTCAGATTCGTGTTGAGTCATTACATGTTTATGTCGAATATTAGTCAAATCTAACTTAACTCATTTAATTAATTGTGTCATGTCGAGTTGCGAGTTGACCTGTTTATTTTCGTATCGAATTCGAATCGTGTCATTGTGTTGAGTCGAAAATTTTCACCTTTAATTAAGATGAAAAAAAAATATATTTTTTTAATTTAAAATTTTTATTTTTTAAAAATTTATTTTTAATTTTTTTAAAAATATATATACATATTTTACCATTTTATTTTTATATAAAATTAATGTATGCATAAGATATATAGACAAATAAGATACATCTCAACATAAGTAATTAACTTTCTATCCACTTTCTTTCTGATTTTGGAGGGATTGATTTTGGTAAGTTGGAAGGAAAGTTAATTCATCAATTTTTTCATTCTTCCTACTTTCCTTCCTTACCAAACATGATGTTTTATTTATCCCTCCAACTTTTCATCCTTCCAACTTTTCATCCTCTCACTTTTCCATCGTACCAAACAAAGTATAATAGTGAAGAAAAGTTTGCGTGTGGGATGTTTAAATCTGATAGATGCTCTAACTTTATATTAGACTGGAGTAATCTGTGTTTGAAAATACAGTGAAATATAAATGATTTTAAAAAAGATGTTAGTAGTCATTAGATGTGTCTATTTGACACTATTGAAAGAGCTTATTGAAGTTTGTCTTGTTTTATATTATTGATTATAGATAGATCTCTCTTTGTATATATTTATCTAATATTATAGTTAAGAAATTAAATTCTCAATTTATAAAAATATAATTATGGTCAAGTTTAATTCAATTTTTATCTAATGATTTATTGATACAAAATTCATTCCAATTTTTCTTCACCATCTTCTCTGCATGGCTCTAAATGTCAGACAACTCAACCAACAGACTCCCCAACATGAGACAACCTCTCTCTCGCTGACCTCTCTTTTTTTTGTTTACTTTAATTTTAAATTACATAATTTAAAGAATAAATTATTATTTAAAATATAAATATTGCACGTTAAATACTTAATTTTTAGAATTCTATAATACCTTCAGACACGGGATTATAACTAGTATTTACATATTATGTGTGTGTAGAATTCCAAATCGAATGCAGATTAAATTTAATTTTATTTTTCCAATTTGTCCTGTATTTGGATTGGATATACAAACCACAATATCCCACCTTGAGAACTGTCCAAAATTGAATTAGCTTAACCTAGTTTTGTTATCTTTCTACAATGGCGGTCTCGTGTCAAATGTTTGTATTATATTTAGTTGTTTTCTTTCAACAAGTATACTAGTTATTTTTCATTGTGATAGTGATCAATTGATCCATATCAAAGAGAAAATTATATTAACTCTCCAAAAATACAAATTTATATAATTCATACCCTAACAAAATTGAGGGATTTTTTTTTCAATTCTATAAGAAGTTTCATACAATATCTGATCATAAAATTGAGAAAATTTTTTAAAAAATTAGGCATTTTTGTGATTCAATCCTAATTAATTAAATTAGTTTGAAAAATTAAATAAAAGAGTTATTCAAATTTGATACTAATCTTTTCTATTTATAATTCATATTAGCCAACTTCCCTAATTTATTAGTCTTAAGTCAAATTCTTTTTTTTTTTTTTTGAAACAAGCCAAATTTAATGAGTTTTCATATTTAAAAACAAGCCTAATTTATTAACCTTAAGTCTAATATCAACCCATGTCAATCTAATCACAATGATTTATGAAGTCGACAAATTAAATTCAAGTATTGGAATGTTAATGAGTTTTCATATTGGAAATGTTTCACAGCCAAATCAACGGCTACAATGCTTATCCATTAGACTTAAAAATTTAAAGTAATTTCTTAACCTAATGATATGTCAAGCAATATGGTCTCAATAAAATAGTCCAATATTAAGCATCGAAATTTGGTTAAATTTGTAGGAAATGAGATGGAGTAATTCTATAGAAGAGTGTACCAACTAATATTGTGACTCACTCTTAATGATTTACGAATTATGTTAAACATTTGATTGAAATTGTTGGTTATTATTTTATGTGAATATTATATAGTATGTACCAAATTTAGAACAACAAACTGATTTCGAGGTTAAATGAACCCAATTTGAATTTTAACCGAAAATCAACTTGAATTATATAATTCGAATTCAACCTGAGTCTATCAAATTTAAAATTAGACAATACTCAGGTTGAGTACCTCGAGTTGAGGTCGGATTAAAATTAGGGTTAAGGTTAAAAATTATATTCTAGGGTTGGATGAAAATTAACCCCTCAACCCATCCAACCCGCTCGAATTGCACCCCAACCCTAACCAGTGCTCATATTGTGTAAATTTAACTAGGTCTAATGGTGAACGTTCTCTTGCGTCATCAAGCATGCATGCATGATGAACCTCACATAACAATCATAGGCCAAATATCTTACTCAAAATTAATCGGCAATAGATTAAGAGATGAGTCACATATTCGCTCACTATGATAAGAAGTCTTTCAATTTCAATAATATTCATTTGATAAGTGCATTGATTATATATTTAATCTCAGATTCTCGGACTTTTTTCTACCTCCCCACGTGCGAGTGGGGTCACATATGCGAGGACCTATTAAATGGTGCTCCACATTAAATGTACATACATTAGAAAAATAGGTTTGGGCTTCGGATTGAATGTAGTCCAATGTTTTTTGGAATTAGTTCATATCAGACATTAAGGTGGTGTTATAGTCCCCACTTGATTACAAAGAGTTTACCCCACCACCAAAGTCTTCGATGGTGTACAAGGAGAGAGCCGGCAGACAGGCATATGTCACCATATATATATATTTGGACAAAAGATGTGTTTTTCAGTATCATATTTGGACACCAAAGTTAGGGGTAATAATCGGGTGTAACATGCTAAGTTTGAGTAAATTCAAACCCGTCTTATTTGTGATGCCCAAGCTTGAATTCGAGCAGAACTCAACTATCGAGTGTAGATTCTTATTCAAGTTTGCACGATAGAAATTTATAAGTATTCAAAGAAAAATTGAGCTTAATTTTCCAAAAATAATGAATAAATAAAAAATAACCCCAAACTTAATAATCCATTGTAGAATAATCAATTTCTTGATAGAAGTCTCCTAACATATATTAAATAACCAATCCTAGAAGTTTAAATTCTTGAAAATTCTATTTGGGAAAACTAAGAGAGAAAAATGCTTAGATTCAACTCGTTTGCAATTTGAACTTAAAAATTTAATCAGATTCGATTCATTTAGCAATTTAAACAAATCTAATATTTGTCAAGTAAACATCTGTGGGGGTATCGATCACAAGCAGTTCGATACTCAAGTCAGATTCTACGAGCAATTGGATGGAAATAAGTATTTATTCTTGTTTTTTATGAGCTGTGTGGTTAAATAAGAACTCCACATATATGTTGGTTTTGGACGATGACTAGGCTGTAGCTAAATGCAATCGTTGGATAGTGGGCAAGTTCTCAGGTTACGGCTAGATTATTAATTTGATCAGTGTCACCGTTGTCTTCAACTACGTCTAATTCTCACATTATATCGACCAAGTGTCTTTCAATTGACTTCTCGTGTGTCAAAAGTTGAAGGTAAGATCGTTTATTCTGGATTTTTACAATCTTACACATCAACAGACAAGCTAATTCTAAGTGTTTTATGGCCTTGTCTCCATGGTTTGAATTGGTGATAAATAATTCAAAGCTATGAGCAGGTAATGGCTTATCAGTGGATTTTTGGAGAGATAATTGGTTATGCACAGGTCTTTTATTGCTCAGGAATTCTGTCCCTCCATCAGTCTTCCCAAATCTAGCTGACTTGCTAGTTAATGGTCAATGGCTGCTTGATGGCTTTTTTCTGGATGCTTCCTTGCTAGAGGAGGTGTACAGTGCTGCTATTTCTCTTTCTCCTCAAACTGACAAGTTAATATGGCAGCCTACTTCTAGGGGGAATTTCTCAATAAAGACAGCTCGGGAGCTTATCAGAAGTCAAGGAATTCCTAATAGTACTACTTCAAGTATTTGGAAATAATGTTCCCCACCGAGTGCAGAGCTTGTGGGTTGGAAAATTACGAAAAATGCACTCCCTTCGAATTCGAAATTGAAGTCTCTGGGTGTTTCTCTTGCTAGTAGATGTCCTATGTGTTTTAGTGTTGAGGATACTGCAACTCATTTTTTTGTTAATTGCAAATATGCAGTAGTCATTTGGAGCAAAGTTTCAACTTCATTGGGCATTCCAATATTTGACTCTGAAGAGCATCTTACCAGATTTCAAAGATTAGTCAGAGTTTATACCCATATTTTGCCTTGCCATATTCTCATTAGAGGGATTTCCTTAATCATTTACTAGCAACTATGGAAAGAGAGGTGCAAACGTGTTTTTGAAGATTTGTCCCAACATTCTTCCTCTATTTTCCTAACCATTATGCAGATTTGGAAATTCAGGCGTATAATGTCAGGCCTAAGACAGTTGATACGTTTCCACATCAGATATTATTGCATTCTCTTAATGTTCCACTAGTTGCTGCTCCTATAGGGTTTGTTAAGTGGCTGAGCTGGAGGTTCCCACCAGAGGGAATTCTGAAATTAAATATCGATGGGGCCTCAAAAAGAAACCCAGGCCTTTCAGGAGGTGGGGTGGCCCTAAGAAGTCATTCGGGTCAACTTCTTCTAGTTGGATCTTATTTCTATAGTTTTGGTTCTAGCATGGAAGCAGAAATGAGGGCACTTCTGGATGGCTTATGTCGTCTTCTAGATTACAGCTTGGATGTTTATCCTATCCTTATTGAATCTGACTCTCAAATTCTTGTGGATATGGTCAATCACACTTTTGAACCTCCATGGAGATGTAAGACTCTTCTCAACAAGATTTTAGCTATCCTAGGGAGACTTGATTTCCGAATACAACATACATACAAGGAAGGAAATTCTGTGGCTAACTCATTCGTTAACAAGGGGATTTTGGAGAGTCACAACTACGTATTCTTCTTCAAACACTATTCCTACTCACATAAGACTTGTAATCCAGCAAGAACAACGACAGATTAGATCCATTCGCAAGATGATCTCTATCAAGCGAATTTGAGCTCATCCTTATCCTCTAAACTCTTTCATCTTCGCCAGCTACTGGTTTTTTATTTAATCCTTTCATTAGCAGCTTAGGCAGGCGATGATGGAGCTTTTTAAGGCATTAGGACTTTTCATAGTTATCTATTGCATTGGATAATTTGTAAATGCATGCATTTTGAATTCTTTATTCTATGCTTATGTTGTAACTAGACGCATTAGAGGGTAAGCTACATACTTCCCCCCTCTCTAGGTGTAATTATTTTTTTTTCAAATTAATAAAATCATGCTCTCGTATGGTCGAGGTTTAACTAAAAAAAAAAATAGATATGTTGCCTGTCAATATGATGGTTGGCTGCGTAAACATTGTACACAATCTTTTTTATGTTGATAATATTTGAAACTTAATTTGCGGACTCCATTTATTAATCTAATTCATTTGCTATTAAATTATCAGTAGCTCCCGAAACATGATGGGATTCTATGTCGATGTTATGGATGGGGCTCACTATCTTTCCCATTAGAGGCATATCTGGTCACTCATGTTGGATCGAGAGCTTCTTTTTCCCTGCACATGTGGAAGAACTTCACAATGTTAAGAGCTCTGGTCCTCGAAGTCGTTTGGCAACTTGATATCGACCCATCACATCCCTAGGTTTAATACAGTCCCAAGTGTGAATGAGTCAACCTTAGTATGAGAGCACCGAGTTGGGTTATGCAGATAGTGGCGCCCAATAACAATAAATAAATTGAATCAATAAATCAAATCAAAAGTAGTATTAGTATTTTACCCTATGAGTAAAAACTTAAAAGGACTCAAAACAGATTCGTGAAGGCAATAAATATTGCTATCTATCACCAAGAATGATTAATGTGGACAAAACGGTTCTATGTCTTGGATAGACAATTAATGGAGTATAAGTGGGGAACGTATGGCCATTAAAGTCTAAAGAAATGACAGCTGGGAGTTCCCTTCAATCAACCTAATGGTAGAGAAAAGGTATCTCCTAGGCCACAAATTTGATGTTACTTGATGTACAAAGTTGAAAACTCAAGGGGGTATCATGTACAACAATTGATTTTTTTAACCTGAAGTAAAAAAAAATAAAGACTTTTATCTTACTACAAAGGCAGTCTTGTGTCAAAATTTTATATTTTTTAACTTGTATTATGTAATTTTGTATTCTTATTCAATTTAATTGACTAAATTTTGATTCTCTCAAGATTTTTTCGATAATTGATTAAAGGGTTATTTCTTACAAAGTTGTACATTAATTTCTTATATCTTTCTCTTTGAGAGTTTTATTGTATTATCTTTTCGGCTTCTCTTCACTCTTTTATAGATACGTTCTTAATTGTTGTAGATGTATTATTCCAAAAAAAAATAATAGTAAATTTTTATTGTAATAGTGATCAACAAATTGATATATCTAAGAGAAAATTATACTAATCATGTTTTGTTTTCTGATGCAAACATGACATCTTGGTTTTATCATATTTCAGTTGACATACATAATGATATACTAAAAATTCACGATTGAACATTATTTTTTTCCCAACTCTACAAAAATAAATTTACTTAATTCATATCCTACCAAAATTAAAGATTTTTTTATTAAAAAAATTCTATAATAATTTCATACAATATCTGCTCATAAAATCGAGAAAATAAAAAAATAGGTATTTTTGTGATTCAATCCTAATTAATTAAATTATTTAAAGATATTTAAAAAAATTAATTATTCATATTTGATACTTGTCTAGCCTATTTATAATTCATATTAGCCACCGTCCCTAATTTATTAATCTTAAGTCAAATTCGTGTAATTCTATACAATTGTACAAGGAATTGTTGCCAATCCTAAACAATTGAGCAATGTTATTGTAACATAAGTCATTAGATTGACTGTAGATATCATCAAATATTAGAACCTAGTGTTAATCCAACAGTTACAATAAAGCACACAACATTAAGTCAACAAATTTTTAAACACCAACTGCACTACACTAAACAAAGTAATGAATCATAAAAGTCAATATGTGGTGTGAGAAAGTCTCTTAGGTTCCAAAATTCGTTTGCACTTGAGGAATGCCATAGGGATTCCCTGTGCATGAGAGAATTCTCTTGTCCTCTAACAAAATTGTGTGATCCAACGAACCATTAGGTGTATGATCCAGGGGCAGCTTAAACTAATTTGAGACATAAAATGAAAATATTAAATGGAGGTTTTTTTATTTTTAGTATTATTTTTCAAAAAAAATTAATTTATTTTTAATTTTTTATGTAAAAGGGAGACAAAAGAATGTGTTAATATTATTGAGAAAGAGATTTCAATTTTTATTTTTGTTTTTACCACAGAGAGGGAGAAAGAATATTTAATTTCAACTTTTTTTTTGGAGAGAGAAAGAGAAAGTGGGTGAGAGTAAATATAAGTTGACTTTTGAATATTTTTTTTTATTTTTTTAATTCCTAAGTTTTTAATGTTATGAATTGGATTATAAGTTTAAATTATTGCAATAAAAATTTTGATTGAATTTAATTTTTTGGGGTTTTTTTGTAAGGCTTAAAACTTAACGGATTTAATTTTTTTTGTGAGTTAATGATGTACCTAAAATTATGAAACTTAAAGCCCATTTTTTTCCCATACTGTTGGACGCCTTGGTATGATCCAAATATTTATTAGGTGAAATAGTCACACAAATATTATTGCAATTATGATTTTTTTTGGTATTAAAACTATGTCACTTCAAAAAGAATTAGATCAGAGTATGTAATCTCAACAGCGAATCCCTTGTAAATATCGACCTGTCTTTAATCGAGAAGGGAAGAAGATTAATCGAAGTGCACGCAAGTTGGATCGAACATCCATAACCGTTAAACTATAAAACAAGAAAAAAGAAAAAATATTATAATAATCCAATCCAAGGTGGAATGCTATTGGGATTTAAAATCTAATCTAATTTGCTGACCTCACGAGAAATCAACTAATATGGTCCAATAGTATTACAATAAAATTATCTATACCTAATTTATTGGCCTAATCCATTAAATTCATTGGATGGATAGATGGCCGTAATTAGTATTATGATCCACTGTCAATCTAACGACAATAATTTATCGAGTTGACAAATTAAATTCAAGCAGTATTGTTAATAGCATTATTATAATTATAACTGTTGAATTTTTTTATTAAGAGTCTAAGACCCTATCACTTGACACCTCAGGATACTAAATTAGGTCAAAATTAAAATTCTAAAAGTATTATTCGAATTTCGTATGCAACTAGTAGTTTATACAACTAGTCGGTTCATGCCTTTGGAAAATACTCAATGTAGTCGGTTGGTTTGGCAATCCAATAATTTATCTAATATTACAACTAAGAAATTAAATTCTTAATTTATAAAAGCATAACAACGGTCAAGATTAATTTAATTTTTATTTAATTTGGTCTAATGGTATAGAATTCATTCTAATTTTTTTTTTTCACTCCAAAGCATCAACTCTACTAATACACTCTTCAATATCAAACAACCATACTAAATTATTATTTAATATCAATATTCAATTTTTTATATTATAAAGTTTCTTCAGACATAGAATTGTTGCTAGTGATAATATATTAAGCATCCAAATTAGGTCAAATTAGCAGGAAATGACATGTGATATAATTTATATATTACTAATAAAAGTACTTTAACATGAAAAATTTTTGATTCACTATTTTGCCCTTAAAAAAATTATGAAAGCTAATATGTCATTTTGTATTTAAATATATAATTATCATTATATCCCTTTGTATTTAAATAACAATTTAATATCTAATATATTATGTAAATCTCTCAACTTTTGTAAAACTTTTGAATGGTCATTTTATGTTTAACATGATATATAAAAATAAAAAATATATATATATATATAAATCTTTACTAGAATGAAAAAATCACAGAAAATAAGTTCATTATTAAATTAAGTTCGGGTAGGATTGATATATCATTATTTTAATTTCAAACTCTTGAACGTTTAATCGAAGCCATATTATTTGACATAATTCAAATCGGGTCAAACATTTCAGTCTCAAAAGTATTATTTTCTTAAAATTTCAGATGCGCCTAATTTATAGAAGGAGTTGTCAACGGTAAAAAAAAAAAAAAAAATTGATACCGTATCGGCTTTTATCTTATTTATGATTATTTTTATCAATATTATGGTACCGAAAAAAACATAAACAGTAACCTAAAATCACCTACAAATTAGGTCAAATTAGTAGGAAATGACATGCAGTAATTCTATAAAAAGAGGTCTCAATTAATATTGTGACCCACTTTCAGCGGAACGACTATGATTTATTATAAAAGTAAGTTCAAGTAATATTGATCATTTGATCAAGGCCACGTTATTTAACACCTCATTAAAGTATCAAATCAGGTCAAACATTTAAGTCTTAAAAAGTAGTATTTATAGATGCAATTGTCTACGGTACCGTATCGACTTTTACTACATTTATAAGGGTTTTTGTCATTAATATAATATCGAAAAAAATGATAAAAATAGTTATTATAACAGTAACAAAAACACTTACAATTTTTTTTTTTTTTTTACCGAAGAAAAGTTGTAAAAATACCTGCGACAATAGTAAAAAATCCACAAATGTGATAAATCGCTCACAAAAATAATAAAATTTTTAATTGTAAAATGGCCACAGAAATTATAAAAATACTTATTAAAATAATAAAATTTGGAGGTATGTACCAAAAATTTTCCTTCCGTACTGTGCCAAGTTTTTTTATGAGCAATGTTATTAGGACCTAATTTACTGACATAATTTGTTAACATAATTTACTATAACCTTTGAATTCACTGTAGATCCCATCAAACATTAATATTTGGTATTAATCCAATAATTCTTTTGAAATCACATCATTAGATCAGATTTTTAGGTACAAATAGTATTATTTTTTTTATATAAATATAATTCATGAGCAATACTATTGAAACATAATTCATTTATTTAATTTGTTGACCTAATTTAGTATGACTTTTAAATGGACCGTTAATTTGACAGTGAAACCTATCTAATATAAAAGTCATAGAGAATATGCCGTCGAATTTAGGTGCAGTTCACATCTACTAATTCTATATAAGAGGGTATGCATTTCAGTAAATTGGCATCCATACCCACTAAAGCAAAAGAAACCAACCATTGTTGGCGTATTATCCAAAAGAGTAATGTTATATGGACTTAAAAATTAGACTTAATAATTTTAATTATTGATTTTATTATAAATCTCAGTATTTATTGGAACTCACTGAGATGATTATACCGTCTCCGACAACCATCGTCTCAAAAGCCTCAAACTCTCCTTCTTAGATCAGATTGCACAATCAGTTTATATTCCCATCATTCTCTTCTATTCTCCTCAATTTGGCTCCAAGACTGATCCTACCCAAAAACATAATTCTCTGAAACAATCATTATCAGAAACCCTAATCCAGTTCTACCCATTATCTGGACGGATCAAAGATGATTTTTTCATTGATTGTGATGACACAGGAGTTGAGTATGTTGAAGCTCAAGCCCATGCTCAACTCTCAGAAGTAATTGCAGAGCCAAGCATGGAGGAATTGAAACAGTTCCTCCCCGTGGAACCTTATAGCAGTACTGGAACTGTGAAGGAGACCCTCCTGGCCATTCAGATAAACTTTTTTGACTGTGGTGGGATGGCCATCGGCATCAATATGTCTCACAAAATCGCCGATGGATCGTCGTTGATCACATTCATGAATGCATGGGCTAGTAAATCACGTGGAGATAGCAAATATTTGGGTCCTAATTTTGATATCGATTCTCTGTTTCCACCCAGAGATTTATCTGGGTTCATACCAAGTGCAGTCTTAAGCAAAGAGAAGATTGTCACCCGAAGATTTGTGTTTGATAAATCAAAGTTAAAAATTCTCAAGAAATCTGCATGTTCTGGTGCTGAATCAATAGTGAAGGATCCGACCCGGGTTGAAGCCGTCTCAGCTTTCATCTGGAGCCATTTCATAGAGGTTGCCAATGCCAAAGCTAAAATGGATTCAAAAAAGCTATTTGCTGCAGTTCATGCAGTGAACTTGAGGCCCAAGATGAATCCACCCCTTTCTGATCATGCCTTTGGAAATCTATGGAGCTTTGCTCTTGCAGTGTCAAAGCCTGAGGAAGACAAAAACTATCATGATCTAGTTTTCAAGCTCAGAACGCAATAAGAAAGATCAATGAAGACTATGTGAAAAAACTGCAAGATGGAGATGACTATTTGAACTTTTTGAAACGATCAAAAGAACAGTTTTCACGAGGAGATTTAGAGTTCTGTAATTTTAGCAGTTGGTGTAGATTTCCTGTTTACGAAGTGGACTATGGCTGGGGCAAACCTGTTTGGGTCTGCACTACGGCCATGCCATTCAAGAACGTGGTGATATTGATGAGTACAAGGGATGGGGATGGGATTGAAGCGTGGGTGAACATGGTTGAAGACAACATGGCCATGCTTGAACATGATCACAAGCTTCTTTCACTTGCTTGAGCACGACCATAAGCTTCTTTCACTTGTTGACGATATTATCATTCCTTCAAAAACTGGTGTGACCATTCTCTAATCAATAGCGACTCAGCTATAATATGTATGCATGTCTGGTGTGAGTATGTATGTGTCCAGTGTTTTCCTGAATTTTCATCAATCTATGAAGAATTATCCACAATATATAAGTGAATTTCTCCCTATAGACCATGGACAATTATCATTAAATAAAATTAAGAAAAAATATACAAGAAGGCAGAGCAAATCTAGTCTCTTTTACTAGGCTTGGGCTCCGACTTCAACCGAGTTGGAAGGCATGTATCTGATCTCCAAACTTATGTTGAGTTACAACAGTTTGGAGTCGGAATTAGAGGTAAAAATTCTGGTTATTGCCTTCTTGTCGAGTGGCTGCTCGTCGATTGAGAGAGAGAGAGAGTTAGACCGGTGTGTGTGTGAGAAAGAGAGAGGGAAATATAGGTTGGGGAGTTAGGGTTAGGGAAGAAAACATGGGAGGATGGAGTAATTTATATTTATATTAATATATTAAATAATTTATAATTCACATTTTTAAAAAAATTAATATTGACTAATAAAAGTCGAAGTTTTCAGAAAGGATTTCAAACTCCGACTTCGACTTCGACTTCGACTCTGATTGAATATTTTAGAAATCAAATTGATAAAATAATACATTGAGAGTCTAACTAATAAAACAAATATACTTTAGGAATAAAAAGTACTATTAATTTTTTTTCTTTTGGTAAAGGAAATTCTCCAAAATAGAGTCATTTTAGACTCACAACGGTGGGCAAACCCTTAATACCAACAATCACTTGCAAGCCGCATATATCAAGTAAATGTAGAGACACCAGCGAGAATTAAATCCAAAAAATCAGAGTTTGTGGCTCACTCTAGACCAACCAACCCAACATCATCGGGGCTACTAGTGAGTATTAGATATTTTAGTTCTTTCTTGATCAAAGTTTACAAAATTAAGTGGATTATATAATGCGAGTTTTATTTGGTGTATGATTTAAGATGAAAAATTACGTGTGTGTGTGAGAGAGAGAAAGAGGGAGTTTTGTTTGTGTTTAATTGGAAATGTAAGAGTGGGTGGGTGTGTGTGTGTGTGTGAGAGAGACAGAGAGAGAGATGAGAGTTTTGTTTTTAATGCCTTTGTTTTACGCACTGAATTTTGGCTGTTGTAACAAAACGTGCGGACTATATTTTTTGACCCAACTATTGAATTTAAAATTTAGTTGTTAGGTGTATATTTTATTGAGATTTTTTATATAGTTTATATTATCACATATTTAAAACTTATGGTGCGTTTGGTAACGTTTTTATTTTTATATTTTTTTGTGATAAAAATTAAAATTATAAAACATGTTTGGTTGTGATTTACATTTAAAAAATTATGAAAACAAAAATAAAAAACCTGTTTGATATCATCCCAAAAATTCACCATCCAAAACCACCACCAATCACCCAACCACCTACCACCACCACCGAAACTCACACCCCGACAACCCTTCCCCTAAAATTCACCACCACCACCACCACCCAAACCCAACCTCTATGTGAAACCCATTGCCCCTCCCCCCAAATGCATCCACCCACTCAGATCCAGACACACATACACATACACAACAAGATGCGTAAATCACACACACACACACACATAGATGCCCAAATACATGCACACAAGCACAAATTCATACGCGCACACACACAGAGAGAGAGAGAGAGAAAGATGTTAAAATTAACAACAATATAGCTAGAAACTCAAAACCACCCAACCCACCCCCAACCCCGAAACCCAACCCCACCCTATCCCCGAAATCCACAACCATTCAACCCACCCCCATCCTCGAAAACCCACCATCACCAACCAACCCCACCACCACTAGCGAAACCCATCACCACTCCCCAAAATTCATCACTACCACCAAAATAGAGAAGGTTGAGAGAGAGAGTGAGAGCGACAGAGGGAGAGGGAGGAGATGACGTTTGGATCCTTCTGTTTTGGCTTCTCTTTGTCTTCATCTTCGTCTGGCTTCGACTTCTTCTTTAGCAGAGAGAGAGAGAGAGAGAAGACAGAGATATGAGAGATGAAAGAGAGAGATGCCCTTTTATATACTTAAACAAAAAAAATTCATATTTTGTTACTAAGGAGGATCGAAGCCCGGACCTTATTAAAATGACTCACGCGTGTTTTTTTTTTGATGTTTTCAAAAATGTCCTTTTGGATATTTTTATATTTTATCCTTATTTTTAAAATAGAAAAATTAAAAAAAAAACAAAAATACTCACCAAACATGTTTTTTATTTTTTTTTTAGCCATAAATTGAAAACAAAACGAAAAAAAAAAAAACAGAAACGGGTGGTTACCAAACAGGACATTAGTTTATATTATCATATATTTAAAACTTAGGCTGGATTACACTGTACATTAGAAAATATATAGACCTTCTTTGTAGTTTGGGCCTAAAGTCCCCGCTTTTTCGGTTATACTGTTGGGCCGGCACTTACAAACACAAAGATAGTTTTAATTCAAATCAAGTCTTTCAAGCAACATGGTTAATTATGTTCCTCACGATGAAAAAAACATATAATTCTCCCTTCCTAAATTTGAACCCCTGAAAAGAACAAAGCAACACAAACATATAGAGGCGAGGGTCTAATATCGTATTTAGAAGTAATACTTCACTATAAAATTCTCAACATGCTAAATGCATCATTATGCATTGGTCTAGACCTTAGTTTCTTTAATAATCCACCAAGCTACTCAAGTTCAATCCTTGATATTTCTTAACATTAATGTTCTATAATTATACTCTTTATACGAGAAGTGGATATTCTTTAAATATAGTTGATGGTGACCTCCAAAAATATTACTCTTCATTCAAAATTCGATCGAATGTGTACTTTAAAGGCATCCTATTACTGTCAGAAAAATAATCTTATAAAAAGGGATAAAACCCATGACAAGAAGACCAGACCTTAGCAAGCATACCATTCATTTGCCAAATTGTTTCTTGGTGATCATCTGCTCCAAAAACAATCAGAGGGACAGTGGGACGGAATGAAACCCAATTGACTCCTCGATCATGGCCCTTTAGACATCCTTAACAACAGTGCCAACTTCACCAAAGAAATCTGTGTTCATCTGGCTTAACGGAAGGATGTCATCAACTAGGGAAACTTTTCTCAGGGTACCAATATCCCAAACAAAAACAGTTTTATCCAAGGACGCCAAAACAACTAGGTTCTCTTGGGGATGGAACAAGGGATTGCCAATTGCACTCATGGTGAAATTGAACTGTACGAATGTAATGAAGCTGTCCAAGAAGGGTAAAGAACCACCTGTGAAACTTTTAATTCCACACCTTGATCTTGTAATAATCTCCTACATAAACCAACATTTTCATCAAACAAATAGTTGGCTCATGTACAAAATGAATAAAACACCTCAAAACCTTTTTTTTATTTTTTGCAAGTATATATATTGCAAAGACGATGAATCTATCATTTTTTTTCAATAATGTTACGCTGACCAAAATTAAGAATCAAATAAAGAGCCCAAATGACATGACAGCCTTCCAAATTAGTTGTCATGTCATTTAATAAAACTGTCAAATGACATGACAGTGATTATTGCTTAATCAGTCTTCTAAGTTAGCTGTCATGTCATTTGAATTCTTTATTTGGTCCCTAATTTTGATCAATGTAGTATTACTATTTTTTTTTTTATAACTGTTCATCTACATTTTGGGTTGATAGAATGATAAAGAATTCTGAATGTTGAAGGCCTTGGAATTAAGTAGAAGAAAAAAAGCCCATTAGATTTTATCTCATCTTAGAAAAGTAAGAGAAATGGAAACTGTTTTGTTTGTATTTCAAAAAATAGTATTAGAAAATAATTTTTAAGAACAGTTTTACGAAAGAGGTTTTGATATTTTTTGAGACAAAAAACTTGTTTGGTTAGATGATTTCAAAAATAATTTTATAATACAAAATAATAAAAACTTGTTTAGACAGTCTAAATAGATATTGAAACAGTAATTTAAACATTAATAAAAAAAAAATTATTTTTAGATTGACAAATTCATAAAAAAAAAAAATCAATAAACCAAACTTTAAAATATAAATATATATATATAGATAGACACCCATATATATAGACACCCCTCACACAATATATATATATATATATTGTTCTCATTGTTTCCAAAATTTTCAAAGAAAACTCTTAAAACAATTACACTTGTTTTCTGTTTCTTTGACTCAAATCTCATTTTTTTTTTCAAAATTTAGAGAACAAAAATGTTAAATAAACAAGTTTTATTTTTTTTTGAAATTTTGATAACAAAAAACTGTTTCTGAGATGTTAATCAAACATGGCCTCATTTGTTTTTCAAAATTTAAAGACAAAAATGTTAAACAAACAGGTTTTGAGTGTTTTTAAATTTTGAAAATAAAAAACTTTTTCCGAGGTCATAACCAAAGATGGCATAAATTTCTTCTGCAAGTCATGCTTTATGGGATTTTTAACCCAGCCAGATCTGTTTCAATAGCATTAATGGATTTAGGT